CAAAACAGAAGGATATAATACAAACTCCACTCGCTATTATCAGGTAAGCTACTTTACGTAACTTTCAGCCACGGATTATTCAATGCACACTATAACTGTAGTTTGTGTGTTTTTATGGTTTTGGTCGAATAGTTGGTTAATATAGCAGCAGACACAACACCGTGCATTACTAGGCCCGACCCAGGCTCTTCCACGTGGGCGACCCACTAGGCCCAAACTCGTGGTCGGCGAGGCACTGATGTCCGTGTAGACGTGGAACCGTGCCTCTAATGCTGTTCTTGCCGTTGTTGTTGCTGCTGCTGTTGTTGCTGTGACACCTCTCAGCGTGGTTGTCTCTCTCTCGTCTCATTGGGCACACTGCCTCGTGTCTCTAGTCCGGAAGACTCCACCATCCATTTCAACTGGGTGGACCCCGTGCCCTCTGAATCTGGTTAGACCTTCACACATTCGAACCTCATGGTGGGACCTCGGGGTCCCGTAAGCCCCCGGCTCTCGCACGAACTGCGTTGCGACGTCATTTTATATCTGTTCAAGGCGAACTATTCCTCTCGACGAGCTTTACACGATGCGCTAATCAAAATTTTGTTCAGTCTGCGCATTCGTCCTCGCTGCTGTGCTTGGACGACGCACCATGACGAGGACAGAATTATCTCAGCGCCAGGTGGGTCACGGCGTTTACGTGCGCGGTGGGGACGGAGTCGCCCAAAATAAACGAATTTCGATTTTTACTTCCGTTTGGTTCATTTCACGTCAGGGGCCCTCCGACAACATTGACCGCCACTGAGTTGTCACGTGACTGTTCATTACTGCACCCCCCACCACCTCCCACCCCCCCTTTGCATTTTACAATTCTCACGAAGAAAAATTAGTTGCAAAGAAAAATAAAATACAAACATCATCCCAATGTCTGTGTTCACTTTCATTATTTTTTTTGTATCTCGAAACTTAAACTCAAAATGTCAATGCCAAGACAACTATCTCCCCATCCCCATGTAGACTGTAACAGGTTGTAGGGGCAAGTGGTGCTAGTAGCGAGCAGCAGCACCTACGGCGGCACCGCCCTCGGGGGGGGGGCAGGGTCAAGGTCAGGCATGGGGTAAAGGTCAAAGTCAGGAGCATCAGGGTCAAGGTCACGAGCGGGGTGATGGTCAAGAGCCAATCCAGCTCGTGCCCTCACCCTTGGGGAGCAGGACCCCTCTGGAGGCTGCAGCTCCACGCCACCAAATCGCTGCACCGCCACCGCCGCTCCCACAATGCAGCAGGGACGTTGCAGCAGTCAGAACAAAGGGTTTGGATATCCACTGCGGTCATTCTCAATGCAGCAACAGACGGAGGCCTCCACCCACCCCCCACTTTACATCGCCGTCGGTAAATCACGCGTCACGCATTGAGACTCACACGAGCACCGTCAGTAGTGGGCGCAGTGGTGGCTGGGAAGTCGTGGGTTCGATCCTGACCCTGACGATGCCTGCTGCTGCTGCTGTATATTGGGAGTTTGTGTGCCTCTCATCACGGTGGCTATGAGATGTTAACTACCTCGCCTGGTGTACAGGAGGTCGTGGGTTCGATCATGTCCCTGAGAGATGTTAACTACCTCGCCTGGTGTACAGGAGGTCGTGGGTTAGATCATGTCGCTGAGAGATGTTAACTACCTCGCCTGGTATACAGGAGGTCGTGGGTTAGATCATTTCCCTGAGAGATGTTAACTACCTCGCCTGGTATACAGGAGGTCGTGGGTTAGAGCATGTCCCTGAGAGATGTTAACTACCTCGCTTGGTATACAGGAGGTCGTGGGTTAGATCATGTCTCTGAGAGATGTTAACTACCTCGCCTGGTCTACAGGAGTTCGTGGGTTAGATCATGTCCCTGAGAGATGTTAACTACCTCGCCTGGTGTACAGGAGGTCGTGGGTTAGATCATGTCCCTGAGAGATGTGAACTACCTCGCCTGGTGTACAGGAGATCGTGGGTTAGATCATGTTTTTGAGAGATGTTAACTACCTCGCCTGGTGTACAGGAGGTCGTGGGTTAGATCATGTCCCTGAGAGATGTGAACTACCTCGCCTGGTGTACAGGAGGTCGTGGGTTAGATAATGTCCCTGAGAGATGTCAACTATCTCGCCTGGTGTACAGGAGGTCGTGGGTTAGATCATGTCCCTGAGAGATGTGAACTACCTCGCCTGGTGTACAGGAGGTCGTGGGTTAGATAATGTCCCTGAGAGATGTCAACTACCTCGCCTGGTGTACAGGAGGTCGTGGGTTAGATCATGTCCCTGAGAGATGTTAACTACCTCGCCTGGTGTACAGGAGGTCGTGGGTTCGATACTGACCCTGACGATGCCTGCTGTTGCTGTATATTTGGAGTTTGTGTACCTCTCATAATGGTGGCTATGAGATGTTAACTACCTCGCCTGGTGTACAGGAGGTCGTGGGTTCGATCATGTCCCTGAGAGATGTTAACTACCTCGCCTGGTGTACAGGAGGTCGTGGGTTAGATCATGTCCCTGAGAGATGTTAACTACCTCGCCTGGTCTACAGGAGGTTGTGGGTTAGATCATGTCCCTGAGAGATGTTAACTACCTCGCCTGGTGTACAGGAGGTCGTGGGTTAGATCATGTCCCTGAGAGATGTGAACTACCTCGCCTCGTGTACAGGAGGTCGTGGGTTAGATCATGTCCCTGAGAGATGTGAACTACCTCGCCTGGTGTACAGGAGGTCGTGGGTTAGATCATGTCCCTGAGAGATGTCAACTACCTCGCCTGGTGTACAGGAGGTCGTGGGTTAGATCATGTCCCTGAGAGATGTCAACTACCTCGCCTGGTTTACAGGAGGTCGTGGGTTAGATCATGTCCCTGAGAGATGTTAACTACCTCGCCTGGTGTACAGGAGGTCGTGGGTTAGATCATGTCCCTGAGAGATGTGAACTACCTCGCCTGGTGTACAGGAGGTCGTGGGTTAGATCATGTTTTTGAGAGATGTTAACTACCTCGCCTGGTGTACAGGAGGTCGTGGGTTAGATCATGTCCCTGAGAGATGTGAACTACCTCGCCTGGTGTACAGGAGGTCGTGGGTTAGATCATGTCCCTGAGAGATGTCAACTACCTCGCCTGGTGTACAGGAGGTCGTGGGTTAGATCATGTCCCTGAGAGATGTTAACTACCTCGCCTGGTGTACAGGAGGTCGTGGGTTCGATACTGACCCTGACGATGCCTGCTGTTGCTGTATATTTGGAGTTTGTGTACCTCTCATAATGGTGGCTATGAGATGTTAACTACCTCGCCTGGTGTGCAGGAGGTCGTGGGTTCGATCATGTCCCTGAGAGATGTTAACTACCTCGCCTGGTGTACAGGAGGTCGTGGGTTAGATCATGTCCCTGAGAGATGTTAACTACCTCGCCTGGTATACAGGAGGTTGTGGGTTAGATCATGTCCCTGAGAGATGTTAACTACCTCGCCTGGTGTACAGGAGGTCGTGGGTTAGATCATGTCCCTGAGAGATGTGAACTACCTCGCCTGGTGTACAGGAGGTCGTGGGTTAGATCATGTTTTTGAGAGATGTTAACTACCTCGCCTGGTGTACAGGAGGTCGTGGGTTAGATCATGTCCCTGAGAGATGTGAACTACCTCACCTGGTGTACAGGAGGTCGTGGGTTAGATCATGTCCCTGAGAGATGTCAACTACCTCGCCTGGTTTACAGGAGGTCGTGGGTTAGATCATGTCCCTGAGAGATGTTAACTACCTCGCCTGGTGTACAGGAGGTCGTGGGTTCGATACTGACCCTGACGATGCCTGCTGCTGCTGTATATTTGGAGTTTGTGTGCCTCTCATCACGGTGGCTGAGATGTTACCGACCTCGCCTGGTGTACAGGAGGTCGTGGGTTCGATCCTGACCCTGACGATCATCACGGGGGCTGTGAGATGTTAACTACCTCGCCTGGTGTACAGGAGGTCGTGGGTTAGATCATGTCCCTGAGAGATGTTAACTACCTCGCCTGGTATACAGGAAGTCGTGGGTTAGATCATGTCCCTGAGATATGTTAACTACCTCGCCTGGTATACAGGAGGTTGTGGGTTCGATCCTGACCCTGACGATGCCTGCTGCTGTATATTTGGAGTTTGTGTACCTCTCATCACGGTGGCTATGAGATGTTAACTACCTCGCCTGGTATCCAGGAGGTCGTGGGTTCGATCCTGACTTTGACGATGCCTGCTGCTGCTGTATATTTAGAGTTTGTGTGCCTTTCATCACGGTGGCTGTGAGATGTTAACTACCTCGCCTGGTATACAGGTGGTCGTGGGTTCGATACTGACTTTGACGATGCCTGCTGCTGTATATTTGGAGTTTGTGTGCCTCTCATCACGGTGGCTATGAGATGTTAACTACCTCGCCTGATGTACAGGAGGTCGTGGGTTCGATCCGGACCCTGACGATGCCTGCTGCTGCTGCTGTATATTTGGAGTTTGTGTCTCTCTCTCCGTGATCGTGTGGATGTTTCTCCGGGTCCTCCGGTATTTGGCTGCGATCCATGTCCACGTGATAAGCCAACTAAGTTGAACTTTCATTTGTGGCCAGGTCGCTTCTGAAAAAATAGCTACGTAGCTCTGTGGAGACTTATAAATATATATTTTTTTACGTAAAAAATGGTTTATTATAACATACTAAATATAAAATATAATATATCCATTAAAACAAAATGCTATATTATATGAAATAAATCTATAAAAAGAATTACGAACAAAAAGGTGTATTATATATTTAATATTATAACATGAAATATAATAAAACCATTAAGGGGCCATTCATTTAGTAGACACGCAAAAATCTGTCAAAACTTGACCACCTCTCTCCCTCCCTGTACGCACGCGGAATTTTTACACCACCACCACCAGCACCACCCATCAGCACCACCCACCACCAGCAGCACCAGCAGCACCACCACTACCAGCACCACCAGCAGCAGCACCACCACCCATCAGCACCACCACCATTACGATCCACTACCACCACGATCCACCAGCACCACCACCACGATCCACCAGCATTACGATCCACCACCACGATCCACCAGCACCACGATCCAGCACCACCACCATCAGCTCCATGGCCTCGGGATTTGTCCGCACGGCGTCTCTGTACAGCAGCAGCAGCAGGAGGAGGAGGAGGAGGCGTCTGGGGTCTCTCCCGGGGTCTCTCCTCGCAGTCTGTGTCGCCGCCACCGCCGTCTACGCGGTGGTGACCGCTCACGAAGGTAACGAGACGAGTGGGGAGCTCACAAAGTGTGTTACACTGTCACACACACACTGTGTGACAGTGTGTGTCACTGTGTGTTAGTAACACTGTTACACACAGTGTGTGTGTTACACACACAGTGTGTGTGTTACACACACAGTGTGTGTGTGTTATACACACACAGTGTGTGTGTTACACACACAGTGTGTGTGTGTTACACACACACAGTGTGTGTGTGTTATACACACACAGTGTGTGTGTGTTATACACACACAGTGTGTTACATACAGTGTGTATATAACACACTGTGTGTATATAACACACTGTGTGTATATAACACACTGTGTGTTATATACACACAGTGTGTTACACACACTGTGTTATATACACACAGTGTGTGTTACACACACACACACTGTAACACTCCCTCTCCTCCCTCCTTGACCCCGTGACCCCCGACGCTCGTCCTGACCCCGTCACCACCCGGGGGGCGGCTCCCCCCTCCCCCCCTCCCCCCTCCCCCCGGCGTGCAGGGCGGGGCCAGCCCCAGCGCCCCTCCCTGCAGGACGGCCTCCCGGCCAACGTCACGGCGGTGGTGGGGAGCGACGCTCAGCTCCGCTGCGTCGTTCTGAAGCAGGGCGGCGATGGCGGCGATGAGCACCACCACCAGCACCAGCAGCACCACCACCACGTGCAGTGGCTCAAGCACGTGGAGGTGAACGGGAGCCTGGAGGTGCCCAACAGCTCGCCCTACGTACGCATTGTCACGGTGAGCGAGCGAGGCATGGGGGCACTCACTCACCACTCACTCACTCATCCACTCACTCACCACTCACTCACCACTCACTCACCACTCACCCACTCACTCACCCACTCACCACTCACTCACTCACCACTCACTCACCACTCACCCACTCACTCACCCACTCACCCACTCACCACTCACTCACTCACCACTCACTCACCACTCACTCACTCACCACTCACTTACCACTCACCCACTCACTCACCCACTCACTCACTCACTCACCCACTCACTCACTCACTCACCCACCCACTCACCCACTCACTCACCCACCCACCCACTCACCCACTCACCCACCCACCCACTCACCCACCCACCCACTCACTCACTCACTCACCCACCCACTCACTCACTCACTCACCCACTCACCCACCCACACTCACCCACCCACTCACCCACTCACTCACCCACTCACACACTCGCCCACTCACTCACCCACTCACTCACCCACCCACTCACCCACCCACTCACTCACCCACCCACTCACCCACCCACTCACCCACTCACTCACCCACCCACCCACTCACTCACTCACCCACCCACTCACCCACCCACTCACTCACCTACCCACCCACCCACCCAAACTCAGCGGAGGCCGACGTCGCCCTCAACACAACAGGACCCAGAAGCTCCCGGCTTGGCTCAGACTCTACGCGTTCGCTGAGTAACAACAAATACAAAAAAATGAACCCCACGTTGGCGTGGGAACGCAAGATTCTGACTTCCTCTCGCCTCGCTCTCTCCGTGCCGCCCGTCGGTTCGCGTCAAGACGGTCGGAGTGGAGGTCACGGACGTGGAGGCGAACGTCCTCTACCTGCGCAACGTCAGCACGGACGACTCGGGCCGCTACACCTGCCTGGCGGTCAACGCCGTGGGGTTCGCTCGGCGCTCCGCCTGGCTGCTCGTCGTGCCGGGCGAGACGCCGGCGGGGGGCCGCACGCTCGCCGCCACGACGACCTCGGGGGCCGGGAAGATGTTGACCACCTCGCCTGGTACGCAGGAGGTCGTGGGTTCCATCCCGACCCTGACGACGCCTGCTGCTGCTGTATATTTGTGGAGTTTGCGTCTCTCTCTCTGTCATCATCATCATCCTCACGGTGGCTAGGGAGACGTGACAACAAGAGTGACCCCGGCAGTGTCTCTCGCCACTGCCGGGGTCACCGTGTGTCACCGTGTGTCACCGTGTGTCACCGTGTGTGTGTCACCGTGTGTCACCGCGTGTCACCGTGCGTGTGTCACCGTGTGTCACCGTCTGTGTGTGTGTCACCGTGTGTCACCGTGTGTCACCGTGCGTGTGTCACCGTGTGTCACCGTGTGTGTGTCACCGTGTGACACACAGTGTGTAACACAGTGTGTGACACACAGTGTCACACACTGTGTGACACTGTGTGTCACACTCCCTCCCTCCCTCTCCTCCCTCTCCTCCCTCCCTCCTTGACCCCGTGACCCCCGACGCTCGTCCTGACCCCGCCACCACCCGGGGGGTGGCTCCCCCCTCCCCCCTCCCCCCGGCGTGCAGGGCGGGGCCAGCCCCAGCGCCCCTCCCTGCAGGACGGCCTCCCGGCCAACGTCACGGCGGTGGTGGGGAGCGACGCTCAGCTCCGCTGCGTCGTTCTGAAGGGCAGCAATGGTGGCGATGAGCACCACAACAACCACCACCACGTGCAGTGGCTCAAGCACGTGGAGGTGAATGGGAGTCTGGAAGCACCCAACGGCTCGCCCTACGTACGCATTGTCACGGTGAGCGAGCGAGGCACGAGGGGACTCACTCACTCACCACTCACCCACCCACTCACTCACCCACTCACTCACTCACCCACTCACACACTCACACACTCACTCACCCACTCACCCACTCACACACTCACTCACCCACTCACACACTCACACACTCACTCACCCACTCACACACTCACTCACCCACTCACACACTCACTCACCCACTCACTCACTCACCCACTCACTCACCCACTCACCCACTCACCCACCCACTCACTCACTCACTCACCCACCCACTCACCCACTCACTCACTCACCCACTCACTCACTCACCCACCCACTCACACACTCACCCACTCACTCACCCACTCACTCACTCACCCACCCACTCACTCACTCACTCACCCACCCACTCACCCACTCACTCACCCACTCACTCACTCACCCACTCACTCGCCCACTCACTCACCCACCCACCCACTCACCCACCCACCCACCCAATCTCAGCGGAGTCCGACGTCGCCCTCAACACAACAGGACCCAGCAGCTCCCCGCTTGGCTCAGACTCTACGCGTTCGCTGAGTGACAACAAATACAAAAATATAAACCCCACGTTGGCGTGGGAACGCAAGATTCTGACTTCCTCCCGCCTCGCTCTCTCCGTGCCGCCCGTCGGTTCGCGTCAAGACGGTCGAAGTGGAGGTCACGGACGTGGAGACGAACGTCCTCTACCTGCGCAACGTCAGCACGGACGACTCGGGCCGCTACACCTGCCTGGCGGTCAACGCCGTGGGGTTCGCTCGGCGCTCCGCCTGGCTGCTCGTCGTGCCGGGCGAGACGCCGGCGGGGGGCCGCACGCTCGCCGCCACGACGATCGCGGGGGCCGGGAAGATGTTGACCGCCTCGCCTGGTACGCAGGAGGTCGTGGGTTTCATCCCGACCCTGACGACGCCTGCTGCTGCTGTATATGTGGAGTTTGCGTCTCTCTCTGTCATCGTCATCATCGTCATCATCACGGTGGCTAGGGAGATGTGACAACAAGAGTGACCCCAAGGTCACCGTGTGTCACCGTGTGTCACCGTGTGTGTGTCACCGTGTGTCACCGTGTGTGTGTCACCGTGTGTCACCGTGTGTGTGTCACCGCGTGTCACCGTGTGTCACCGTGTGTGTGTCACCGTGTGTCACCGTGTGTGTCACCGTGTGCCACCGTGTGTCACCGTGCGTCACCGTGTGTCACTGTGTGTCACCGTGTGTGTGTCACCGTGTGTGTGTCACCGTGCGTGTGTCACCGTGTGTCACCGTGTGTCACCGTGTGTGTGTCACCGTGCTCACCGTGTGTCACCATGTGTGTGTCACCGTGTGTCACCGTGTGTCACCGTGCGTGTGTCACCATGTGCTCCCCGCTTGTCACCGTGTAACACCGTGTGTGTGTCACCTTGTGTCACCGTGTGTCACCGTGTGTGTGTCACCGTGTGTCACCGTGTGTCACCGTGTGTCACCATGTGCTTCCCGCGTGCGTCAGCGATGTTTACCAACGTCCCTGTCACAGTGGAGGCGGGGTCACCGTGTGTGTGTCACCGTGTGTCACCGTGTGTCACCGCGTATCACCGTGCGTGTGCTCCCCGTGTGTCACCGTGCGTGTGTCACCGTGTGTCACCGTGTGTGTGTGTGTGTGCTCCCCGTGTGTCACCGTGTGTCACCGTGTGTCACCGTGTGTGTGTCACCGTGTGTCACCGTGTGTCACCGTGTGTCACCATGTGCTTCCCGCGTGCGTCAGCGATGTTTACCAACGTCCCTGTCACAGTGGAGGCGGGGTCACCGTGTGTGTGTCACCGTGTGTCACCGTGTGTCACCGCGTATCACCGTGCGTGTGCTCCCCGTGTGTCACCGTGCGTGTGTCACCGTGTGTCACCGTGTGTGTGTGTGTGTGCTCCCCGTGTGTCACCGTGTGTCACCGTGTGTCACCGTGTGTGTGTATGCTCCCCGTGTGTCACCGTGTGTGTGCTCTCCGTGTGCGTGTCAGCGATGTTTCCCGATGTCTCCGTCACGGTGGAGGCCGTCTCGGCCGCTCCCTTGACGGCGGGCGACGTTTCTTGCACCGCCGGCTTCCTCCTGCTGACCGCCATCGCCGGCGTCGCCGCCTTCTGCCTCACGCAGACGCGGAGGGCGAGGAGAGAGTCGACCGGCGGAGAGGTGGAGATGCAGGTACAGTTGAGGTGGTGGTGGTGGTGGTGGGGGTGGTGGTGGTCGTGGAGGTGGTGGTGGAGGTGGTGGTGGAGGTGGCGGTGGCGGTGTGTTGTGGTGGTGGTGGCGGTGGAGGTGGCGGTGACGGTGTGTGGTGGCGGTGGTGGCGGTGGCGGCGGTGGCGGTGGCAGTGGCGATGGCGGAGGCGGCGGCGGAGGCGGAGGCGGCGGCGGCGGTGGCGGTGGCGGCGGAGGCGGTAGTGGCGGTGGTGGTGGCGGAGGCAGTGGAGGTGGCGGTGGAGGTTGTGGTGGAGGTGGAGGTGGCTGTGGCGGTGGTGGTGGAGGTGGTGGTGGTGGCGGTGGTGGTGGTGGTGGAGGTGGTGGTGGTGGTGGTGGATTGGCAGTCACTTGTAAGTGCAATAAACTAGTTTTAATAACAATGATAATGATAAAAACAACGATAATAATGGTAACAATGATAATAAAGGGGGAGTAGTTTGCATGTCTCTGCCATCATCATCATCATCCTCATCACGGTGGCTACGTAGATGTTCACTGTGAAAAGAGTGACCCCGGCACTCTTTTTCACAACATTAAACAAACGTTAAACAAACGTTTGGCGCTGAGCAGTAATGTTTAGTGTGCCTCCCAACATGCAAAACAAACTTGAAATTTGGCATTTGGGTAGCTTCCAGACTGTACACAATGCAAAAAGTATAAAAATAGACTCGTGTATTTTGCACGTCAAGTGAGCGGTGACGTCGCGTCTGTGATGTCACCGGCATGCGGCAGCGTCACGCGGTCTGCCTGCTGACGTCATCCCTCCCCAAGCCTCCGCGTAGGCCGTGTGTCCCGCACAGACGCGCCGCATCGTTGTCTCGATGTTCTGAGTCAACGCGGCTGTTTCCAGTTCGCCCTCATAAACACAAAGCAGAAGGTTCGTCTTCTTAGCTCTTTCGGTAAAGTCACGTTGAAGGGAAACAATAAAATAATAAAATAAAGTCTTCTTTGGTTCTTTCGGTAAAGTCACCACGTAGAATGAGAATAAAATAATAAATTGATAAAATAAAATAAGACAATAAAATTATCTTATTTTATCAATGTATTATTTTATTCTCATTCTACGTGATGGTGACTTTACCGAAAGAACCAAAGAAGATGAATCCTTGCAGTCACGAAAGCTTTAAATCGAAATAAAATAAAGATTCGTCTGTTTGTGCGAAGCGGCAAAAAACTCTCGAACGCTGACCCTCCAACGTCATGAAATTTCGTTTTTGGTTCTTTCGGTAAAGTCGCTGCGTAGAATGAGAATAAAATAATAAATTAATAGAATAAAATAACACAATAAAATTCTCACGACGTTTCGGCCACGACACAAGTGGCCCTCTTCAGGTTGGACGACAGGTCTGTTCCTTTCACCTGAAGAGGGCCACTTGTGTTGTGGCCAAAACGTCGTGAGAATTTTATTGTGTTATTTTATTAATTTATTATTTTATTCTCATTCTACGTGTTGGTGACTTTACCGAAAGAACCAAAGAAGATGAATCCTTGCAGTCACGAAAGCTTTAAATCGTCATGAAATTTGCACAGCTTACGCCGTCTGGAATTTCTAAGGGAACGCGACGATTCTCAGCTCGCCACATCATTCCATTTCCGAGTTGCCTGGTTAAGGTTCAATTTCCTTGAGTGAAAGACATCCGATTTAGTTAAATTGATTTGTTTCGGATGTTTTTCTTTCTTGCAGGCATCAATGTTTTTTCAGGGTTTTCCAGTGAAATAAAAGGGAATATTAAATTAATCCAAGACGATAATCCAAGTCCCGGGCGAAGCCGGGTAGTAAAGCTCGTTCGTAATAAAGGCTGTCACAAGTCCTACCTGCCTCACGTGGATTTACAATTCCAGTTACGTACGAATAAGGTGCGCAGAGGTTGATCAAATACAACTGTAAAAGCGAGGTATTGTTGTATAAGCTGCGTGGAATTAACTGCGTATAGTCTTACTCGGGGTCAAGAGGTTGATCAAATACAACTGTAAAAGCGAGGCTATTGTATAAACTGAGCGGGATTAACTTCGTATAGTCTTACTCGGGGTCAAGAGGTTGATCAAATACAACTGTAAAAGCGAGGTTATTGTTGTTTAACCTGAGCAGGATTAACTGTGTATAGTCTTACTCAGGGTCAAGAGGTTGATCAAATACAACTGTAAAAGCGAGGTTATTGTTGTTTAACCTGAGCAGGATTAACTGTGTATAGTCTTACTCAGGGTCAAGAGGTTGATCAAATACAACTGTAAAAGCGAGGCTATTGTTGTATAAGCTGCGCGGGATTGACTGCGTATAGTCTTACTCGGGGTCAAGAGGTTGATCAAATACAACTGTAAAAGCGAGGTATTGTTGTATAAGCTGAGCAGGATTAACTGTGTATAGTCTTACTCGGGGTCAAGAGGTTGATCAAATACAAATGTAAAAGCGAGGCTATTGTATAAGCTGCGCGGGATTGACTGTGTATAGTCTTACTCAGGGTCAAGAGGTTGATCAAATACAACTGTAAAAGCGAGGTTATTGTTGTTTAACCTGAGCAGGATTAACTGTGTATAGTCTTACTCAGGGTCAAGAGGTTGATCAAATACAACTGTAAAAGCGAGGTTATTGTTGTTTAACCTGAGCAGGATTAACTGTGTATAGTCTTACTCAGGGTCAAGAGGTTGATCAAATACAACTGTAAAAGCGAGGCTATTGTTGTATAAGCTGCGCGGGATTGACTGCGTATAGTCTTACTCGGGGTCAAGAGGTTGATCAAATACAACTGTAAAAGCGAGGTATTGTTGTATAAGCTGAGCAGGATTAACTGTGTATAGTCTTACTCGGGGTCAAGAGGTTGATCAAATACAAATGTAAAAGCGAGGCTATTGTATAAGCTGCGCGGGATTGACTGTGTATAGTCTTACTCAGGGTCAAGAGGTTGATCAAATACAACTGTAAAAGCGAGGTGTTGATGTATAAGCTGAGCGGGATTAACTGCGTATTGTCTTACTCGGGGTCAAGAGGTTGATCAAACTCAACTGTAAAAGCGAGGTGTTGTTGTATAAGCTGAGCGGTATTAACTGTGTATAGTCTTACTCGGGGTCAAGAGGTTGATCAAATACAACTGTAAAAGTGAAGTGTTGTTGTAAAAACTTAGCTGTATTAACTGCGTATTGTCTTACTCGGGGTCAAGAGGTTGATCAAACACAACTGTAAAAGCGAGGTGTTGTTGTATAAGCTGAGCGGTATTAACTGCGTATAGTCTTACTCGGGGTCAAGAGGTTGAACATTCAAATGAAAGTCGAAGTTCGACTTGGGCCATAATCCGTCAGAGGTGATAACAAAAAAACCGAGCACCACAAAGGCCCTTCTCTCTTAAAAAACACATCCCGAGTAGGCGTATGTATTAATATATAACGCGAGACACGGTCGTGCACACATCAAACTCTCCCGTACTGCAGCCTGAGCTGCCAATGCGCCCAGTCGCCGCTATCCACATCTTCAGTTGCATTGTCGTTGTAAGACGCTGTTTGTAATCGTGGTCGTCTTTCGCGTCGCAGCAATGAGGGATCTTCACGACGAGCTCACAGCTGCCAATCTGGGAAGGGTGGCGGCAATGCTTGGGTGAGCAGTAGCAGCAGCAGAAGAAGAGACGCTTTGAAATGGGTTCCATTGGCAAAGAAGTCAGCGGCTCTCGTCTGGTACGGCCACCGAGGGAGGAGGAAGTGGGGCAAGCCCCCCCAAGTTCGGGGTTTGCTCCGACAAGCCCACAGCTGCGAGCCACAGCGGTCTCCGCCGCTGGCAGCAAACTCTGAGTCTGAACCGACGACGTTCCACAAATACGCAGCCCCCTACGCGCCAACACCGACGTCGCATCGAACAAACATCCACTGAATTAATCTTTGGTTTTTTCGGTAAAGTCACGTAGAAATGAGAAAAAATAAAATTACATAATATACGACTTTTCGATTGCAACGCAAGCAATCATCATCAGGTAGAGGAAACACAACCGCAGATATATATACTGACCTTAAGGAGAAGGAATTAACACAGATATACCAGGGGATACAGAGAGACGGAGCATCACACTTATCAAACAGGGTTTTTGCAAAATTTGGAAACTGTACAAAGCAACACAGACGGTCGGTTAAAACACAACGCATGGTCTGGTTGAATACGCTATTTCAAAGATTGTTAAATTGTAAGTTGAGCGTGAAATTTAAGATAGTGATAGAATACATACCGTAGAGAGACCTATGGGGGGAGACACGCAAACAGTTAAGAGGTGAAGCAGCTCTGTACCGAGGCCTTAAATAGCCAGAGATGGAGGGACTGGGTTTCAGAGACAATGGGACATAAATTAGCATGTACCGAGGCGCAAACCGTTTAGCTATTGCGAATCGTGTGTTGTGTTTCACATCGATATTCTCGGTTCTTTCGGTGAAGTCACGTAGACGTAGACGGCAAATGAGGAATATTTTAATTCCTGCAGCCGCAAAAGTTTTCGGTGAAAATTTCATCTTTCAATAACGCGTGGGGTGGAGCGGTTGTCGCCGCGGTGAGCGCGGTGCGCGATGAACTCCACCGCCCGAGTTTGAGTCTCCGTCACGGCTAACCGTCAAGTGGCGGAGTGACACCTGAGCCAGACCTGGACACCGCCTCATTCAGTCAACCCGCACACTGTGTGTACACGCACAGTGTGTATGTACACAGTGTATACACACTGTATACACACTGTGTATACACACACACAGTGTGTACACACAGTGTATATGTACATTGAGGGAAATAAGTATTTGATCCCCTGCTGATTTTGTACGTTTTCCCGCAGACGAAGAAATGATCAGTCTGTAATTTTAATGGTAGGTTTATTTGAACAGTGAGAGAACAGAATGACAACAAAAAAATCCAGAAAAACGCATGTCAAAAAATGTTATAAATTGATTTGCATTTTAATGAGGGAAATAAGTATTTGACCCCTCTGCAATTTGTCGCTAATG